TCTTTCCCCAAATCTCCCCTTGCCATTCATGAATGTAATCATGCTCTTGCCTTGCGTGCAGCCCCCCGGGTGGCTGGCATCCAGCGAGCCAGGGTGTAGGAACCACACGTCGCGTGCCTGTGTGCCTGCTCTGCCCCCTGGTACCGTGGAGCCCCGGGGTCTGGTAACCCCCAACGGGTGTGGGAGCTGCTGGTGGAAAGAAGCCAGGCTTACCCTGCTCAGCTCACCCCCTTAGCTCAGCACACACACCCCAAGGGTCCCAGCACGGGATGCACAGGGCTGTGATCCATCCCGGAGCCTCACAGAACAAACCGGCTGCAGCCCCGCCACGCAGCGCTCCAGCCTCTCCAGCTTGACACCACGTCGTTATATATTGATGCCATGACACCAGCGCTCAAAATAGTATCAGGACAATTTGATTTCCTGCAGATCTCAGGATGGGGTCATAAAAACGGAGACTGTTCTGGAGAAATGGGATAGGGTGGAAATGTTTGTAGTGACATCACTGCCACTTCCATGCCAATGGCCTCCTACTGCTGCAAACATGTGATTGTGATTTTGCTGCACGCTCCATCAGAGGAGTGCCAGACTGGCCGGGGAGGGAGAGAGGAGAAGGGGCGGAAATATTCTGTTCTTGTATCTCAATTCAAATATCTGACAACAGCCTTGCAGCCCAGGGTGCTGAGTGATCAGGAGTGGGACCGTGGAGCTGAGACTTCTCCCAGATCAGCAGAGCTCAAGGCATTGCAGTAACCTAACTGGGGGCTGAATAAGGACCTTAATTTTATGGTGGAGGGTCTTGGTCTGCATTGGTGTGCTTCAGTGGAGATTTGGGTGGTCTTGTGCTCACCCTTCCTCACTGGTCCCATTTGCTTCTAATGTTACTTTTCTTGGCAAGAAAAACCTACAGGCCTGAAATATGGTTAGAACAGCAACTGCAGAGCTGTCGTAGCCTTATTTTAGGCCATTATAGAGAAGAACAGATCTCAGTGTTGGAGTTTCACCCATGAAGCAGAGAACCGCAGGGAGGGATTTAAGTAGCTGGGGATACAGGAGAGAAAGGAGGAAAGAGAGGGAAGAAACAGAATTCATCACCAAAAATAAAACTAGATTGTGTCTGAGGACATTGCAGGAGGAAATCTCATGTCAGTTGCTCCACAAACAGCACTGAAAGCTGCAGAGCCCATCTTGGTAGCAAGGTTCCATCCTTCCCAAGCAACAGCCACTGGAGATCAGCCCTGGATGTGTCCAGCACACGTAACCTTGGGGGGCTGTGGAGAGGAGCAATATCTGCAGGGGCACGGGCGAGCAAAGGGATCCAGCTAATGCACCCGTCTATCAGATTAAGCTGTCAAAACCCAAACCACTTCCATCACTGTCCGAGGGGAGACTCTCATTCTCTGCTTAATGGGATGTCTGTCCTGTTGTTGTCACTCCAGGGAGAGGGGCCGCTGCCACCACAGTGTGCAGCCGGCTGTGAGTTTAAAATCCTATTAAACAGGGACTAACAGTTGCAAAAAAAAAGCAGGTATCCCCTAGTGGGGATTTAAAGATGTTTAGACATAATTTGATTTTCCAAGCAGATGTCATTATTGTTAAACAGTTGCCCACTTGATATGTTCAAGTTGTTGGCTGTAATTGCTAAAATTAGCAGGTCTGCATAGAGCAAAGGTCAGTCGGTTAATATCGTGATTTAGTATTTTATGAAGTAATTCCAAATGCTTTTATGTATGTTTTTGTTTTTGCAGCCTAAGCCCACATTAAAGTAGTTGTGGGCCCTGCTAATAAAATAATGACTCAGCCTCCCAGCGCAGGCTGCTGGCCACACTCGGTGATGGAGCTCCAGCCACCCTCACTCCCTGCTCTGCCTGTGCCCCAGGCACTGGGGCCACATGCTTGGGTCTGGAGCTGCAGCCAGAAGGGAGGCTTCCAGCTGCCCTCAAGTGTGACATCTTCAAGCAGAGCTGGTGCTGGAAATGAGCCCATCAAGTCCAGCAGCGACTGGAAGGATGATGGGTTGGTTTCTATCAACAGCTAAGCACAAGGGTGTGCAGCTGGTACCCCTGGTCCTCATAGGGGGATGGACTGCATGTGCAAGTGCATGCAAGCACCTTTCAGCCATGGACACTCCTGAAAGACTCACCACCGACCAGGCAAGGTCCTAAAATACAGGTTTTTGGAGGGAAGAGGCATTTTTGGAAGAGGAACAGAGAACTGGAATTGGGCAAGGTAAAGACTCACAAATTTGTGCTGTGGTTGGTTGGACATCTGGTGCTGCCTCCTCTGGTGCTGTGGCTGCTAAATGGCACGAGAAAAAATTTTTAAAAACTCCTCAAAGGTGTTGGTGTTTTGTTGGCAGGCTCAGTGTTAGTCTGATCCAATGTCCTGGCACAGAAAAGGGTTTGCTTCCAAGGCAAGGTACGTTAGGGTTCACTTACAGAACTTACAGAATGTGTTCTCTGTTACTTACTGTAACAGAGACACAACCCATTCCAGGGGTGATTTGGGCACACCTGGCAGATTTCTTGCTATTGCAGGAATGCAGGACGTTGCTAATGCAGATTGACCTGCTCTCTTCTCACCAGACCTTTATGATCCTAGTCCTGGGTTTTTTTATATTTTAATCTCAGATATTTAGCTCACAGAAAGTGCTGCAAGGTGCTTTGTGGTCTGCAGTGCACATGAAGAAATGGAAGAGGATCTGCCAGGTCCTCCTGGACTCGACACTTCCTGGGTGAGCTGAATTCCTTCCCAGTCTGTGCTCCCTTATTCCTTCCAGCAGGTTTGGGTATATGCAGCTGCCCCAGGAGATCCCTGCTGCAACAGACACACTCTGACACAAGGATGGGAAAAGGAAGAACTTGCTCTTAGGTGCTGCTTTAAATACCAACACAGGGGAGGGAACTACTGACCCAAGGCAAGAAAGGTATAAAATATATATGGACTTGCATACCTTTGTCTCAGATCAAGAACTATTGATGTGCATAAATAAATATCCCATTAGAGACAAGACTGAAGCAAAGTTTTAGTCCTAGGAAGCTGAAAAGGTTGAAGAGCTGGAAATTTAATTCTGGTCCAATTTCCGAACATGTTATATTGATCAAAGACCATTTCAGTTTCCAATCCAAAATGTGCAGTTTGATCTTGTTCTTGTTGTTGTTAATTGTTTTGTTGTTTTTCTTACCTTGGACTTCCTCTGAGGCAGCATAACATAAATTCAAGAAGCCATCTCTCATGAATATGGTATCCACGGGAAGTATTGGTAGAAATATTGACTCGTGTTTGCCCTGACCAAAATAATCTTTCTGTATCAAGCCCCTTAAATATTTGCAGTTCTCAGAGTCCCAGTGCCTGCAGGACTGTTGATGGTTTCCAAACTGTGGAGGAGCAGCAGACACAGCAGGTTTGTCCCTGCATGGAGCTTTTCCCTGCTCTCATTGCCACTGGCCTTCCTCCATGCACCCAGCATGCAGTTAAGCTTCCACTTGCTGCCCAGTGCTGTCTTTTCCTCACTGAGAGAGAAGCTTAACAGCCCTTTACATAACAAATATAGGTTTTATCTGTTTTTCCTAGCTGGACATGGCATCAATTGCTAAGGATGGTGATTTAAGTTACATTTGTCTTTACAAGAGAGAAAGGCTTTGAATTAGGGGTGGCAGCATTCTGGCTAATTTAATTTATTGGTTAATGCTCAGAGTCCTTTACTAGCAACGCTACCTCAGTCTCCTTCAAAGCACAGGAGTCTGTTATTCCCATTTTACAGCAAAGGAAACAGATGCAAAGACCTGCCCAAACACAGGCAGCAATTGCAATCTGGATTAGAGTGAAATGTCCCTGAAAACTAGTTCCAGTCTCCAGGGAGCCATCACTGGGCAGGGAAAGCTGGGAAACTCAAGAGAATGTAGCGTGAGACCAAAAATAAGAGGTGTGTAAGATTTTAAATGCTTAAGGAGATCTGGCCAAGCAAGAAACAAGGCTCAGCAGTTCATGTCAGCCCAGGGGAGGGAGGAAACGTGGGGCTTGCGTTCTGTAGCTCAGTGGAGGACAAGAGCAGCATGCTGGCAGGCTGTGCAAGAAATGCATTGTGAATTGGCTCTTACAGCTGTGAGCAAGACAATAAGGATGGTAAAGCACCATCTAAGTCTTCGCATCCAGCTTTGCACAAAGAGGGAGCTAAACTCAGCCCCCTGGAATCTGTTGGCTCATGGTTAGAATTTAGCTCTTTGTGTTTGAATGACTCCAGGCAGAGAGGGAATATAGATTGTCCCAGTCCACGAACCAAATTCACCTTTTCCCTGCTCACTTTCAGCCCCTGAGCTATGCAGTACTTCTATCAGGGTCTCTGATCATTATTTGCAGGGCATTCTCAAGAAAGCCCCAATTTTCTTTTACAGTTGGAAGAATGACATTTTCTTCCTTCCTTTGTCTTTCTCTATGCCGTTCTCTGTCCTCTATGCTCTCCATGTCCCACTGACCCCTGCCAACCTTCTTGCCCATGTTTAAAAACTTTTTTCAATGGATATACATCTTCTCATACACCAAAAGTAGGAAGGATATTCTTCACTAAGTGTCAGGGTTGTGTATGAAAGTCACACAAGGCTTTATTCATCCAGCTGGTAGACTTTAACAGTAGCATCTCAAGGAGTGGGAAGGGAATTATAAATTTTTATAGGGCTTTCTTACATTTCCACAAACCAGCTTGTCTCCTATTGCTGTATTAATCAACTTGGTCTCTTTGGCAAACCAGCAAGGTTGCTTCCACTTGTATCTCTGATAGGTATTTACTGAATAATCACTATCACCTCACTCGGGCTTTGTGGGCTCACACTCTTTAGTTTAGCATAACCATATCTTTACCTGTGAAATATTTTCTTCCCAACCACTGAGAAGTCTGCATCAGTTGTGTCATGAACTCAGCATTTATTGATACTGCTTGTAGTAGATCCCGTCAGTTGAGCTATGAGTGCACATCCCACAGCTTGCAGCTTGTGCTGGTGACATTAAGAATTCAGGTAGTCTCTCCCGTTGATTATTACAGACTTCAGCTGGCCATCTTCTTCCACTTCTTTTGTCTCCTGCCCATCCTCAATGATTTTCCGAGTGGTGATGGTCTTGCCATTGATCACTTCAGTAGTGGTTATCACTGTTCTGACACCATATGGCCCAGATGTGTTTTCAGCAATGAAGGAGGTGGGGTGCCCACTGGGACAGAAGGTATTCCATTGCACAAACGAGTCCCTGGGCCTTCCTCCTCTTCCATATGCACTCTGCCAGTTTTGATCATTGATTCTTATGTCAAAAGGGTTCAAGAAAATACACGTAAATGGATACATCCCTCCAAAGATCTCTTCTTCATAGGGGAATCCATGATGGGAACCAAAGAAGTCACAGCCCGCTGCAGCTCTTCCCCTGCGGGTTCTGCTCTCCTCCACAGACTTGTCATAGAGTGATCGCTTCTGAGGATTGGACAAAATCTCGTACGCTTCAACAATTTCTTTGAATTTCTTCTCAGCTTCCTCCTTGTTTTTGGGATTCTTATCAGGATGCCATTTTAGTGCCAGTTTGTGGTAGGACTTCTTAATATCATCCTGTGAGGCATCTTCTTGCAGTCCAAGGACCTTGTAGTAATCTACCATCTCAGAGGAAAGCTGGGGTTCTTTGGAAGTTGCCTGGTTATGTCTCTCCCACCAAGGTTGCTCAGCATGCAGAGACTGCTGGACCCCCAATGACACTGCACTCCTTGGGGGTGGGGAGATGTTCAGTGCACCCCATGAGCTGCTCTGTCCTGCTGCACTGCAAGGCCACCAAGAGCTGTTTGACCACAGACATTCTTTTCAAACCTGTTGCTCACAAACCAGGAGATTGTGACCTCAGGGAGGGTTCCGCCAATCCTGGCTCAGTTGTCCTGGCCACATTCTAGGGTGGAGTTGGTTGTCACTGGCCTTCTGTTTCTGAATGTAGATCATGTACATGATGTAACTGTGGATGTAATTGTAGCTATGATGTAGGACTGCCATGGAATCATGAAATGGTTTGAGTGGGATGTGACCTTTTTTAAAGGTCATCTGATCCCTGCCCCCTGCCATGGGCAGTGACTCCTTCCACTAGAGTTGGTTGCTTAATGCCCCAATCAAACTGGCCCCGAACACTTCCAGGGATGGGGCTTCCACAGCTTCCCTGGGCAATGTCTTTCACTGTTTTATCACTCTTATGACTTTGTCAGATTACTTTTTGCCTGAACCTATCCTACATTGGGATCCTCAGATAGTCGGTGTGGATTCGTGTGCAATCCAGGGAAGTGTGGTGCAGTCAGGTCATATTATCCCATGGGACATAATTCCCTATGGCAGCAGCTATAGGGAAGCTGCAGTTTTGCTACCCATAGTTCAGGAAGAGTGTTGATAAACCAGAGAAAGCCCAGGGAAAGGCCATAAAATGTGACTAAAGGATTGGAAAAGATGCTCTGGAGTGAGAGACTTGGGAAAAGAGGAAGTTCAATGGCAGCTACATCATAGTCAGCAAGAACCTGCATGGGAACAGAAATTCAGTGCCATGGGGATCTTCAGGCTCCCAGACAAAACAGTTAGAAGTTAAATTCAAAATACATTGCACATCCTTCTTTATGAAGGTAGTGGGTCACTGGAACTTCCCCATATGGCCATTTTTAAACCCTGAGTGGGAATTTTTCCTAAAATCATGATTAGATGGGCATCATCATTTTTCTTAATTTATAGACAAGCCTAACACTTTCAGAAGAGCCTCATTTTCATGTTGGTAGTAAATTAAATTACCAACCTTAGCCTCTCTTCTATGTGCCTTTTTGGATACCTGTCCCAAGGTGTACATGCACGTTTGACAGGGATGGCCCAGGAGCTCGACACATGCAATCAAATCTAGGGTTATCCTGCATCTGTTTCTATTCCTAGGATTTGCCATTCTGGTGGGAAATACAATATCCTCAGAGGGAAACATTGCATGAAGAAGGTCCCAAGGAAGTGCCAATAATGAGAATTCATCTGTCTGTAACACAGTGTCATAAACACCTTCTAATAGCAGCATATGTTGCAGATCACTGCCCTCTTTTCCATTATCCCACACTTCGGGAAGAAGTCAAGAGCCAGCCAGACCAAAGAGCATGTGCACAGCGTATGAGCTGGCTGCTGTCCTAACACACAACCTGGGAGGGGGCTGTGAAAGCAAGGGGCAGTCCTGTCAGCCTGGAGACAGCAATATGGCAGAAGGAGGAAGGTAATTGAGCTGACACATGTTAGAAGAGGTATTTGTACTGTTGGTGTTCTCACTGGCCAGTGATGGGGCAGTAGCACGGAGGTGCTTGTCAGATTTGGGCAGTAAAAGTTGCTGCAGGGCAGTGCAGGTCTGGGGGCTGGAGCTGAAGAAAGTGCAAAAGAGCAAATAAGCTCATGGTCCTGTGGGATCACCTCACTGGAGAGATCTCAGCTTTTGCCTCCTTTGGCACAGAAGTCTTCTTAATTATAGGGTGGTTGCGCCACATGAATCATTTTTGTGCTGGATGTTGTTTATTCTGTAGAAATGGCAAACGTGACCTGGGCCCAACAGCAAGCTGCTGCAGCCCATTTGAACTCAGAGGGCTCTTTGCATTTCCAAAACACCCTGAAGTGGTCTTCTGCAATGAGGGGAGAGCTAAGACTTGATCACTCACTCAGACTGTAGTCTTATGCTTGAAATCTTCAGAAAGGGACTAGATTTTTTAAGGATTGCCCATTGGACTTGAGCGTGATCTAAGCTTACCACCCACAAGTCCCCAAAAAGTGTTAACAGCTCCTCACCACTGCCAGCATGGTCCTTTTGCAGCTGCTTGGCAGAAATTTCAAGAAGGATTGTTGTTCCTACTCTCTATTACCCAGAAGGGAAAATGGGACATCAGAAAAGTCTGTTGAAGAGGATCCCAGGCCAGTTATCAACTCAGGGAGTGGGGCTGTGCACGGAAGGGAGGTGACTGCCTTTTGCTGTGTCTTTGCAAAGCCTCTCTTCCCCTGCTGGCTTTTGATGCTGAGAGCCCATCTCAGACTGGCTGGCGCACTGGGTTATCTGTCTTGGATTTAGTGCATCCTACCCAGCTGAAAAGTAGGGAGTGTTTTTCTCCTGTCATCCTCTAACGGAGGATGCTCACTGCCTGTCTGTCTGCTGCCTGCAGCAGGCGTCAGTGATTAGCAGCCATTCAAGACAGGCCACTGCTGTGAGCCAAAAGGGTTTGCAAGGAAAAAAGAAAGGGTCAAGGAGAGGCAGGGAGAAAGGGAAATGAGACATGCACACATCAAGTAACTAGACCCAAACTGGCCTGGCAGCCCCATCCCTAGAAACCAAGGCTTTGAAATGAGAAATGTTTTTCGTATCTTAAATCTCAAGTACAAACAATAAAAGCCGGCCCAGACCGTGTTCTTTGAAGAGAAAGTACGAGTGACCTGAACAGTGGTTATCAGCAGCGTCATTAAGATAAACCCTTAACATGATTTAAAGCATCCGAAACTGAAGGCAGCACTTTCAGATACTAACAAAATGGTCTGACATTGGGGATGAAAATCAATAGTAATCTGATGTCACTAAAAATACTCAAAAGTGTCCCATGGCTGATGGAGGTGAGATTAGTGTAAATATTTGTATTCTAATCAGTGGCACGCGAGGGCTGGAGGCAGCCTTTCTGTCTATTTAATTAATGGAGTGGCTTTTTAAAAGGATCCTAATCATATGTGATTGTATCTGCTTATCAACATTTTTGCTAATTAGATGATATGGAGGCAGTCACTCTGCTAATTCCCTCATCCAAACAGCATATCCTGCACAGATAAAGTACAGTCTCTTTTTAATAAGAAACAATCATGAGACAGACTAACCTTAATGGTGCTTATTATCCGAGGATCTTTGGGATTTTCTTTTCTACCCGCCCCCTCCTTCCTTTTCCTTCATTCCCTGCTACAGTATGCCAGATGGATGTGGAGTAGCAGTCCCTGTCCCCCCCAGTTCCCCATTCCAGGCATTGCCATGTCAAGCCTTCTCTTCCCTCCCAGCCAGATATTGGGTCTGTAAGGGCAGGGATTGTCAGCCAGGTCAGGATGAGGAGCAAAACAGAAAGCACCACACAGCAAAACATCCCAAATTTTTTGTCACACAGATGACAGGTGATCTCAACCATGCAGCCCCAATCCCTGATCTTGCTCTTGGCCTCCCAGTGAGCCCTGGTCCAGAAAGGACTGAGTGCCTCCAAGTTGGGAAAAATTTTTTCTATTACTATTTTGATTAGATTAATACTAGGAAAAGTTTCTTCAAGGAAAGGACTGTCAAGAATTGGATCAGGCTGCCCATTGGCAGTGGTTGAGTCACCATCCCTCGAGATATTTAAAAGCCATCTAGTTGTGGTGGGTTAGCAGTGGGATTGGCATCACTGGTTGTTCTTGGTGATTTCAAAGCTCTTTTCCAACCTAAAGAATAATAATTATTGTTGTTATCATAGGGTTTTTTCTGTTTTAAAAGCATCTGAGGGCAGAAGAGGTCTATGTAAGTGATTTCTCATCAGCCCTGCTGATTCTGTGACAAGGCTGGGGTCCTTTTATCTAAAACAACACAAGTCAAAGACATTTGTTCCAAGTCCTTTGATTATCCAAACAAACATGAGTCGTGCTTTGCTCCACCACTCAAACTGTCATTAGATGCCTCCCTGGGGGTCAGCCCTGTTGGGGGGATGCTGTGCTCAACCTTGGAGTGACATTCCTGGGGATGATGGTCAGGGATGGGCACACTGGGCCAACATCCCACTGGGGTGGAACAGAGGAACCTTCCTGACTTCAGAACAAGACTGAAAAATAAATAGAAAATTTGCCCTGAAGAATATCTCCTCACCTCCCAGAATACTAACTCAACATCTAGATAAGGAGAACCCATCCTGAATGTGTGTAGCTCCTATCCCAAAGGCATCTGGGTGGAGCAGTGGAGAAGCATAGGTGCCTGGTGCTTAGTTTTGGGAGGTCAGGAGTTTGCCTGCTGTTTTTGCAGCTGTGAATGTAGAGCAGAAAAGGCTTAGATGACACGGGTTCCCCACTCTGTACAGGAAAGAGGGTGAACATGTCCTGTGCATTGATCCCATGTGTCAGGCTCAGCACAGAGGTTGGATGTGGGATGGGAGATGGGGTGGCTCTGGGGAGTGCTGACTGGAAGAGACCCCCAGAGGCTGGGACACAGAGCAGGGTCTGTTTCCAGCTTTTCTGGGACTCGGGTTGGTGCTTAAGACTGAACCAAGGTTCAGGCAAGAAGACAACCATCTCTTCTGAGTGGTAGTGGGAAAGGGTAGGAGCCTCAAAAAAACTATTCTTCTTTGAGATATGAGGACAAAGAGGCCTGGTCCTACTTAATGGAGTCAAGAATGAGCCTGACATGTTTTTTATGTTAGATCATGCCCCATATGCAGAGCTGGACCTTGCTTCAGTCTTGGAAAGCCCAAATGGTATTGTAACTCATGTCCGTGGACTCTGAGCCCAGCAGAGTTCAGAGCACTTTTCTTTCACTGACTGGATCATCTCCATGTGTCATTTGCAGTATCCTCTCCAGACAGGGTTATGCTGAAGCTGTACTCAGCAGCATGGTTGGCCAGTCCTTCTACCACTCCTCTTTGGCATGGTCTCTGGCCCTAAATCCTCCCCATGTAACACACAGGAATCAATCCAATATTGACCACTTTCCCAGAGGGGTTTCCTGCTGCTTGTTCCATGACTGAGGGCTACAACTTGAAAAGAGGAGGGGCTT